GGGAGAACGTGGAATGATCGCTAGGCATGCACGCGCTGATCGCTTAAATCCGCTAGGATGAAGCGAGGTCTCTGTGAGGTATGTTGCTGTAGAGCTCTTCAGAGTCGACAAGAAATTGGCGCATCTCGTTGGGACCATGTATATAGCAAGGGCTGATAGATTGAAAGCTCTAACAGGGACAGTGGAATAAATCTTCAGATGGTGTCTTGCTTTTGACATTTTTGAACAAGGACTTCATGGCGAACACTGGTGACAAACGATTCTTGGGTTCTGTTCATATCGAGTGCTCAACAGCCGCATGGTGTAGGACGTGGACCGAGCGAAAGTCTTGTCGCAGTCTTTCCAGTCTTATAGCCGAACGATTTAGATGGCAAAAAGAAACACCCAGTTGTCTGGAACAGTCTCTCGTATGGTAACCTGGGCGTCCAGATTTGCTGGTTTGTGAGCAATGTGAGCGCCTTCTGCTTTGCGACTACTCTAGCATCTTCTTTCCAGTAGTCTGCATAGTCATATATGTTCGCGATACCTTGACCTAGTCGGTGAAGCTCTCGGACTCGGAAAGGGGTGTGAAGTTCTTGTCCAGGGTAGCAGACGGGCTGTTGGTGATTTCCATGGTTGACAGCAGACTTGCCAACGATCAATCCAGATCAATCTGATCAATCAAGCTGTGACAATTCGTATTGCAAGCCAATCCAATCCAGCATATCGTAAAAATAGCAGTCAATCAAGCTCAAAATTGCCAGATTGGTTGTTCAGATTGATAGGATTCAATCTAATCAATCAAGCCAATCAATCTAAGCGTTTTTGACCGATCAATCTCATCAACCAAGCCAATTCAATCCGTGGTTGCACAGATTGATTGGCTTGATTGTTGGCAAGTCAACTTGACAGTAGTGGTGCTAAGGGCAGAGAAGGTTAAAGCATTTTGGGTACAGGACGTATGCGGTATTAAAGCGAGCTTATGTGCTGACAATCGCGGGAGTTTTCTACCCAAGCAATTGGTACGGTGACCATGAGTGTGTCAACTCGCGCAAGCATAGTGTCAGTATTGAAGGTTTCTAATGTGTAGGTGTGAAGGGTTGCTTTGTAGTTCGCTTGGGGAGGGACACCTTCACCTTGGTACCAATCTCAGCCAGCTGGTAGCAGTCGAGCATAGAGAGTTCACGGGTGGTAAGGAGGCATGATGTAGATGGATCGTTTTTATATCGAACAAAAGGAGAAAGTGGTATTATCCTAACAAAACAACAAATTACAAGCAGATATACACAAGAGCTATCTGCTCATCAGCCTAGCGCAATGGAAGGAAGAACACCTTGGGTTCCTCCAAGGGACTTTTCTTCTCCCACCACTTATCTTCAGGCTTTATACCTACATACTGGAGTTGCTTCCATCCATCCGTCTTTCTTCGGGTATGACCACAACAAAGACAACTCTTCTCATAGAAACATAAGGAATGACCCAAAGTAGAAGGGGGTCGTCTCAGACAACAGTGTTCTCAAGGAGAGTAGCGAAGTGCAAAACAAGAAGATAGGGTCCCTAGGTTTGACCGTTCAACGCCAGGGTAGATAACATGGTAAGGAAAAGGGCATCAATGCTAATCTCGTTTCGATCGCTAATGATAAGACAAAGTAGAGGAAGAACGGAACAAGCAACGGCGACAATCAGCTTATCGCAAGTTGTGGCGTACAGCAGTGTTGGGTCGCTGGAGTGGTGTCGCGTACTTGGACACGGGGATCATGTCAGCGTGGACATCGTTGCCATCCACATCGTCATCGTCTTCGATGATACGTGTTGGTACGACGGGAATGTCGTGCGATCGGTGCTGTAAGCTGTGACGGTCTGGTGTTGTGCTGGCGCTGGCCATGGACATGGAGGTGCTAGACCTGTGGCTTAGGTCGGGAGTTGGGGGGATGCTTGAGCCTCGGTTGGGGCGAAGCATGTTGTCCTCATCGCCGTACTCGCTGCCAATGGTTGACTGCGCGCGACCTCCAGCTGAAGACATCTGGCCGACGCTGCTGCGACGATCACTGTGGCTATCGTCTTCAGTGTCAGCACGCTGGGCGAGCTGAAGGCCCTCTACAGCTGCAGCACACTGTTCTGAGATGTTGCGAATGATGTAGGCAATCGCGTCGGTCTTGTCGCGAAGGACACGGTCGGCAACGTCGACCATTGACTGGTTTGAGAAGCGCTTGGAGTTGCGTGCAGGGTTGTTGAATAGGCGCTGTTCCATGTCAGGTGTTACGTCCTCACCGTCGAGATGCTTGCCTTGTGCAGTGCTCGCTCTTGATTCCTGGCGGCTCTCAACGCCGGCTACGCCACGAATAGTACCAACCTCAGACTTGTCCTTGATAGAACGGCGGCTCGGGGTTTGAGTCTGTGTCTCAGCGTCCTCAAACTCATCCTCGTCCTCCTCAGGAACATCCTCAAAGCCAGCATCCATGTAATTTGACATGTCGTCCTGGTTGAGCGACTTGACAATGTGCTCCATGTGGTGGGTTTGACCCTCGATGAGGGCACGAAGGTGAAGCACAACACGTTGTGTTTCGTCTCTTTGGCGCATGATGGCACCGTTAGTGTGTTGCAGTGCAGCAAGCTCCTTCTTGTTCTTCTTCCTCTCACGCTCGAGCTCCTCAGCGATCTCTTGTTGAAGCACAAGCGCTTCGAGAGCATCATCACGCTGCTTCTCAGTACCAGACAGTCGGACAGTAAGCCTTGCGGCATCGTCCTTCTGTTGATCGATGAGACTGGTGAGGCGGCGGTTCTCACGCTTGTGGTTCTCAATTTTGACCTTGAGATCCTGGGTTTCCTTGGTGAGCTGCTCGGCGAAAGCCTGGAACTTGAGGAACTGCTGCTTCCAGCTCTCAAGCTCCTCGACCAAGAAGTTGTTCCTCTTAGTAACCTTACCGAGCTCGCTGTCCAAGCGTTGCTTGAGGTTGATGAAGTCAGTCCAGGCTTCTTGTGCGTCACGCGAGTATTGGTTGCGCTCGCGGACAATCTCGTTCAAGTGGCGCATCGACACCTTAGTCATCAATGGCTTCTTGACGGAGCCTCCAAATATAGCCTTCACTCCGGTGTTGCGGCCCTGATGTGGTATTAGCATGTGGTCAAATGTGTACTCGCGCGGCTGGGTACATACCAATTTCTCGCACACGTGGTCCATAACAGACATAACCGCGTCTTGGGTCCACCAGTCAGGATCCTGGATGCTCTCAACCTCGCCACGCATCACGATAATTTGACCCGCGGGAATGAGCTTGCCACCGCCATACGCGGATCGCAGATGCTGTGGAACACCAGTCGGTGATACTTCGCCATTAAGAGCCTGCGTCAGACGTTGGATCATCTTGGTCCTCTGGCCTGCCGTAAGGGCAGTTGGCGGGCTAGAGGTCAGGACAAAATTGCGGTCCAAATCGACAACGAGGGCATCTGTAGGGGCTGTGAAGAGCGACCGGCATTCTGAGGTTACACCAAGAATGTATGGGCCAGGCTCCTGGACCAGATCCTTGACGTGACGCGCATGTACGACGGGTACGTACAGACCGCTCCACTCGTAAACCCTCACGCAGAAGCGGATAGTCTCGGCAGCGATCGTGAGCATCGCGGGGTAATGACTGGTGAAGATGATTCGTCGTGTTGGTGACACAGCAGCCTCTATCACACCAACGATGTTGGGGATTGACAGACACGTGAAGAGTGGCCACATGGCGAAATTTTGGAACCCAGTAGGCGAGGACGGGAACTGGTAGCACAGCGCATAGTCCTTCATGTCGATTCGAACCAGGTCGTTCAGACGAGGGGCGGGGAAGCTGAGGATGCGCGACACCTCTTCGGCGTGGAACAGATTCGTAGCCTTGTTCCAGTGAATCCACATACCGCGTAGGTAGTCGCCGAGCAAGTTGTACAAAGGGTATCGGGAGAGGAAACTAAGGCAGTACGGAATCCAGTATGTCTCGTCTGGGTTATCGAAAAAGTCGGGCTCAATTCGCTTGCGGAGGTCCCGGATGGTCTCAGCCCTCTTCTCATCAGCGCGAGACCAGACGCGCAGCGCAATGCCGTAAAGAGTGTGTGAAGAATCTTGTTGCAGAACAAAAGAGTGATGTACGCAATGCGGCTGGCTCCTGCCAGTGCAAATCTCGACGTCGTGAGGGAAACATGCCTGTAATACTAGTCAGTAGAGCGACAACAATGGCATTATTGTATGAACATACTCGCATAGCCGCATGCAGAGATCTCGCGATATCGTTATCTTGCTCTAATCTTGGGCTGCTGCCCAAGATCTCAGGAAGCCAGAAGGTACCCACTGCACCCTTCATGTGCCCAATCTTGCCCTGAGATGGTGCAGGTGCCTTCACCCATTGCGACGGCTCCCGTCCAACACCACACACCATGTAGGCATGAGTAAGAGTCTTTGGGCTCCTCGCGCCCTGCTTGACGTTGAGAGTTGACGGAAGCGGTTGGGTTATCCTCGAGTGAAGCGACGAAGTCCGGCTTGGGATGATGAGGCTATGGTCGGCATTGTCTCTGGTGGGAGGACGCTCACTGGCGCCAGTACGAGGTCGCAAACTTAAAGAAGGGGCCATGTTGGCGGGTTCGTCGACGTCGGTCCTATCAAGGTGGCCGTTCGGGTACGGTTGTAGGGAGCGGCAGGCGGAAGAATCCAGTAATTATTATGACAGCTATAACTGTAAAAACATGAGGCTATGCGTGGAGGAGTCGGATAGGCAACCCGCGAGGACAAGAGAGAGCGGACGGTGAGTACTTTTACGCACTCCGTCAATTGAGGGCTCCGAGGTCACCTTGCTGCGGGCAGTAGAGGAGGGTAGCAGCAAGGGGGAATGATGGCTTTTGGGGAGCTCTGCCGCAGCGCGCGGACTGGATGCTGGGGGTTGAACGACCCGGAGACTAGCATGGGTGGCTTTCACAAGTTTCGGTTCGAGGAAATGAGAAGCATATCCCTGCTCCTTCGCAGGGTCCGTCTCAGGGCACGGTGCACAGCGCTGTCAGGGGCGCTTTTCCTGGATAACGGCTCGCTCGACTTCCTCGAGCGGCGCGACGGCAGCAAGGGCCGCAATCAAAGAGACGGGCGGTACAATGTACATTGTTGTGATATCTCTCTCTTTGCACATGCTGTGAGGATTCCTGCAGCCACGTCAAGCACCCGAAGCTCTGGTACCACGGCTCGGTCAGCGAGAGCGTGCAGCGGCCTCAGCAGAGAACCCCCGCTGGTGGCAATAGCGCCGTATGGAATGGTCTTATGCTGAATACCGCATTGGGATGGATTCGAATCATTCGCAAGCCTTGTGCACGATGAGCACGTCTGCAGCGTGCATCCTCGCAGCAGCATGCATGAGCAGAGTTCCCGCACTTGCAGCTCGGACGGACCGCGAATGGAAGTGCTTAGAAATTGGCGAGCCATACCCCTGACGGCTGGTGGCTATCGGTCGCTGCCCAGCACGCGGTACATGAAGATCGCTTTCAGGCCCGCCAGGCACGTTTGATCCTGCGTAGTAGCTGGGAGGCGGGAGGCCCTTTCTGCAGGAGAGTTACGTCTAAGATGCACCGTCGAGATGTCGACCAGATACTCGATCGGCTCCACAGTCCGGTAAAGTGTGGTGGCCACGTACAGTAGTCTCGCGTGTAGTGGACCCTCTAGAACCAGACTTCGTTGTCTGCTGAGCTTTGCGGAGAGCAGCTGCAATCCGTGAGGCTGAAACACCGGGCAGTAATGTTATCTGGCAAATCGGGCGGCTTCGCCCAGGTTCGGTCGCGCAAACAAGGACAGGACTGGCTGCAGCCGGACACGACGAGAACGACTCGATTGCCTCTCAACAGCAGTAGACGAGCGCAAGCGCATAAATCGGCGCTCTCGACGTCGGTTTGATCTGCGCCTGGTGGACCTCGATGTAATTTGGCGTGGAGAATACTCCGACGCACTTAAGGAAAGGGTTCCCAGTCGCCCGAAAGCCTGGCGAGTGTGCTGGCGGCGTGCGCCTGCTCCGACCATCGTTCGTTGAAAGGCCACGGATAAGCCGCCAATTTCCATGTTTATGGGAAGTTTGCGCATAGGGGTACAGTGACCGAGAGAGTGGAAAGCGTCGCAATAGATCTGCACTAGACGAGCGAAGAGCAGCGGACAGAGTTTTTGGATGTCGCGCTAGTCTAAACCACACAAACTTTCATAGCTGCTAGCATCTGCAGTCTTGCGTGCAGCATCGATCTAAGCAACGTTGCGAAATTGCTTACAGAGTAGATCTGCATGATTGTCACTCTACTGTAAAACTTGCATTCTGGTGCCGGTCGTCGCATCTTCAGACGGGACGATATCTGACTACAGCCACAACGCCGATATACGAAACTTTCCCTCGCGACCCATCATTGCCTCACACGCCACAACACGCGTCGCATCGATCAACTGCACCTACCGCCAGACCTTCCCTGCGCCTGTTCACGCCTACGGCTTCTCCGCCGCCCTTGGTGTGAAAGCGACTTCCCGTCGTGCCCCATCGCGCGCCAGATCTGAGGGCCTAAGTATTGGCGATCTGATATCACGTTATTCGTCTCCACTATTTGGGCGATATGACAGATGCAATGTTGCTGAATGAACTATGCAGTATATGGTATGTCTAGCTGGATTCCCCCCGTACTACGGGTAATAAGTTGGAGAAGTTCATATTCACTGGCAATCGACCTGATTTCTGCTCTATTTGCCTGTGAAATTAGCCAACACAACACAGCCGAGACGGAACAGAAAGCTAACAACCAATTAGCCATAGCAGCAAGTCCAAGTACAAATGTCCTGGGTGTAGCGCACGTACATGCTCGCTGCCGTGCTACAAGCGTCACCAACAAAATGCGCAATGCTCAGGCAAGCGAGATCCAACAAAGTTTGTTAAAAAGTCTGATCTGGTAACCCCAAAGGGTATTGATCACGATTACAATTTCCTTTCGGGTATAGAACGTAATCTTGAAAAGGCCGAGAGGGTTGCAGGCGCTACAGCTGAGAGCACTCCTCAAGATGGTCTATCTAGCCGCCAGCGAGCGGGCGTCTCGTATAATAAACTCGAAAATGCTGCTGGCGTTAAGATCATCCAGGCGCCGAAAGGCATGAGTAGACAGAAGGAGAATAAGTCACACATGTCTGCAACAAAGTAAGTCTCCTAGCACCAGCGTACTCACATGACACTGCTGATCTATGTGTTCAGAAAGGCTTCACGGAACATAGTATGGACCGTCGAATGGTTTGATGAAACCAAGAAACGTGTGGTTACTGAGACATCCTCTACACAATCGATAAAGGACGCACTGCCCTTCGTACAGCATGGCACAGACGGTACAAGTAAGAAAAGAAAGCTGAACAGCGAAGCCCCTCGTCGTGAAGGTTCGCCAACAAAATCTACGCCACAACCGCAGGATGACGTTGCGCCCGCTTCAACGGATCAGGTCAACAATGCGGAGGCAGAGGTAATCTCCCCCGCACGAGGAACCCCTGCTCCAGAGCAAAAGGAACGCGCCTCCAAAAGACAAGCGGACATGATAGACACGCGTACTCGAGACAATCGTGATGGTGAGCCAAGCACCCAATCCATGGGCGATGAGCAACATAGGGTTTTTCTGCTAAAGCCACGCACGAGCACAAATCGCCACGTCCTCATACCTCTAGATCCTTCTCTCACCCTAGGTGAAAGCTTACACGGGCGCACTATCCTTGAATTTCCAACCATTCATGTATTCCCTGTTGAGATGGACAAGTTGCCAGAAGACTTCATGTTAGAAGCAGAATATGCCTTGTTGGAGGGAGAGCAACAGAAAGAGTTTGACGAGATGATGAAGGAGCTCGATCCTGAGATATTGCAACGCCTGAAAGAAGGCGATGGTAATGTACAGATGCACGACAGAGCCGACGAGGACGTCGATAGTAAGAAGATACTAGACGTTCTCAAGCAGGATCTAGGAGGAAGGTTGTGATTTGCGGACCAAGAAGCGCAGTTACCGGAAAGTAATCCAATACAGCTAGCATTAAGAAGGATACGTACTGCCAGCAAGCAGATAGAGGTATCGGATCACAAACGGCAGGTAGATAGACAATCGGAGTATTTCCTTTTGTCGCAGAAGCGCTTTGCTCCCATGTTATCACAATCACATCGGCTCTCCCTTTTCGAGCTACACCATCGTCCCATTTCCAACGTTTCAATACTTTTTCCAGTCGCTAATGACCAGGGTCCTTCTTCCCCTCTTACCCCAACCGGAACAATACCCTGCTTGTATACTTGCTTTCCCTTAACTCGTCATCTCTCGGCCCGGTTGCAATTGCTTTTTTAACGCACGAATACACCATAAGCCACCCGTCATGGCTGTCAACGGTGTACCAGCGTTTCAGGTTGCATTGACAGCCTTACTTTTCTTTTTGGCACAGTCGTCCCATAGTCTACTATTATGCAGGTCGTCAAACACGTGTACAGCTGACCGCTCTCCATCGTCCCGCTGCCGAGCCGCGACGCCCTCTACCAATATCCTACAGCGAGCATCCGCCCCACATCACCAGCCGTCGCAACCTCAATCATTAACGTCAACATCATGAACGTCAACCTAGAAACACCGACTGATACCGGGACCGATGCCGATGCCGATAAGAAGTGCTATCACAAGGATCCCCCGTTCACAATGACACAGCGTCCCCTTCATCATGACTTTGCCAGGTCCACCCAGCCCCTCGTGTAGCCTCAATAAGGTTTTCTCATACCATTCCCATCGCATACCCCAACTCCGCGAAAATATGGGGAAACAACTGAGTGGCAACGCGCCATCCCATTGAGTTCAAGATATTAGGACTAGGATCGAGGATCATTATCGCTAAAGAGAGACGCAACGCGGCATCATTGAGATCTTAGCGCCATTTCACATATAGCACCACATGTGGAGTCGCACGCAAAATGCCGGATTGATATACCGGTGCCAATGGTTGCCAAATGAATCTACCTTGATGGCAGAGATGAAATTTTGTAGGATTACTTGACTTTTCGTGCTCGATTGGGGCTGTTCATTGGGCGAAGGATGCCGATGTCCCACCGTGCTCGGAGGTTAGGTGCTATGGCGTGTCCTGAAAGATTGAATATTTGAAATCATTCTACTTTCGCGGGCTGATGACTGCGATAGCCGTTAGATTCTAGGTCTGCTCCGCAGGCGGATGATGGGCAGAAGGGATGGCGGAGGTGTGCTCGGAGATGATGCTCAGCATATTGCGCAATCATAGGGTAAGCCAATTTGAATGTCGCTGGGCATGAATTTGTTGTCTTAAGCGGACTTGAATTCGTCCGATGGTATTTATTTCGAGAATATCCCACGTAACGCACAATGTCTGTCGAACTGTTGGAAATCCCTTCCTCTACACATCCCAGTATGACTCCAAACGTGCTTGAACGGACTGATGCAGTAATCTGAGCGAGCAGAGTACGCGGTATACGTATGGCTGTAGAGATTGATGCGACTACGTTATGCGCGCGTAGGGCGGCTAGTGAAACAGCTGCTTATGGCTATCAACTCCTAGGAGGGAGATTTTGCGTGGGTTTGATTTATGTATGGAGTCTGGACGGTACCTGGGCGTTAGTATGTGTAACCATCCTAGTCTGTGTGAAGAGACGGAATAGTTTGCAAAAGTCTTTGGTCAGCTTCGATCATCCTTCGTGCATCGACGTAGGAGTCTGCCAATCTTGTTCGATTATTTATTCAATCCAACCAGCAATGGAACTTTCGTGATCCTATGTCGCTTTAGGCCTCGTTGTCCCTTCATCTAGAGACCTACTTCTGGAGCTCCAATAAGCCCTTGCTCTGCAAGTACTCGACAATCTCCTTGACGCTGTCCTCAACACTCTTCTGGTCACTCCTGATGTGAATCTCGGCGTTCTCAGGTGCCTCGTAGGGCGAGCTGATACCTGTGAATTCCGGGATCTTGCCTTCCCTTGCCATCTTGTACAGACCCTTGGGGTCACGCGCCTCAGCGACTTCGAGCGGCAAGTCAACGAAGACCTCGACAAAAGCCAAGGGAGAGTCTGAGCCGGTGGTTACAGCGTGCAGTTCGCGCGCCTGCTTGCGGTCGGCCTTGAAGGGAGAGATGAAGGATGTGATGGCGATTGTGGACGAGTCAGCGAAGAGCTTTGCGACCTGTAAAGGGATATGTCAGCTGGCAAACTCTCTCGCAGGCGTATTCTGCGCAAAATGTCGTACCTCAGCAATTCTTCGAATGTTCTCGTTTCGGTCCTTCTCGCTGAACCCAAGGTCCTTGTTCAGTCCGAATCGGACATTGTCGCCATCAAGACGGTATGCCGCGAATCCAAGATGGAGGAGATGCTGCTCCAGTGCTGTCGCAATGGTCGACTTGCCAGATGCAGATAGTCCGGTGAACCAGATGGTGAAGCCCTTCTGCTTGCGGTATGTGTTGCGCTCGTCGCGCGAGAGCGATGGGTGCCATGTGATGTTGCTGTTCGGATTGTCAGTTCGTGTTTTCTGTGTTGCGCGTTGACGCGGGGTAGGTATAGTGGGGCTCACGTTGACATTTTGAAAGCTGTGATGGAGGTTCAGAACTGGTGAGGAAGACAAGGAAGTGAGAGAAAGTAAAGTCTAATGAGGTTTGCTGTAGAGTAAAAGTATTTTATGCCGACAATTGACGGGTGAACGGACGACCAGTATTTCAAACGCGATCTCTAGGCTGTTGAGAAACATCGAATTCTTTTAGCGTTAATGACGCGATACAGGTCCACTCATGAGCGGGTAAGGCTGAGAGCGGAAAACATTCCTCACACAAGACATGAGACTATGTCTAGATAGGTAGGACTAATGCGATGTTTCCATGGGGCCCACTCAATCACTTTCAGGTACAGCCAGTGGCCATGAAGAAACAAGGAAAAGTTACCGCGAAGTGCATAGAAGCTTGTTCCATTTGAGCTGTACCCAGTAACTTGAGTCCACGATGATAGTCTGCCCTGAAGACATACACGGTATCTCGTTTCACAGTATGTTGATGTAAAGTACTGCGTATACCTTCAGGTAACTTCTCTGGCCAACCTACAACGCATCAAAACCGAGCATCTTCGTGCTTGCTCAAAAGAACCCGTTTCCCCCAAAGCTCGCAGCCCTTGCTCTTTGTCTCTTTTCCCTTGCTCTTCCATCATCCTCGAACCCGTAAGCAGTCTGTACATCCCCTCTGCTCCCACTCTTCTTTAAACCCCCACTTGGTGGAACAGGATCAAAAGGCTTCCTCCTCCTCACAAGCTGGTATCCCCTATCCAACTCCACCTCAATCGCACACCTGATCTTGAGCGCTGTGACTGCCGGCCAAACACTCCGTTCTCCCTTCAATATCCAATAGTCAATCGCCTCTTTCGTGGGATTCTCGAGCAGCTTGAAGAAGTCGCTTGGAGTAAGTTCAGGTACCAGCGTGAGACTTGGGCCTGGAATGTTTTCGTCCAAGAGGAAACGACGGATGGAAGGGGGCAGTAGGCCCAGCTCGTCGAGTTGTTGCAACCTATGCTGAATCTCTAGAACTACCAGACGCAGGATCGGCATGCTCAGTCGCCAGCGGCCATCTTGTTTGGGGTTAGGATGATGTGAGTCTGAGCGTAGGAAAGGTGCGAGGTAGGGCCTGGCTTGCGAGACGATGAAGTGGTTTACGTTGAAGAGCTCGCCGATGCGATGAAGGGGGGACTCGCGGTCTCGGTACGAGGCGTGTGTGTAGGGACGGAAAGTGGTTTTTGAAGCTGGAGACCAAGGGACAATATTGCCTTCATCGTCCTTGCACATCATTGTTACGGAATGGTAGAGGGTCGAGGAGGCTGTGGCGTTGGAGGCAAGAGCTGCAGACCAGACAAGCTAGGAAAGTTATTCTCTGCTTGTACACATGGAGAGGGCTAAGTACTTACGACATTAGGAGCGGTTAGGTAGTTCAGAAGGTTCGGTATTCCTCCACCACTAGCTGTCGTTACGGTGATATTCAGCACTCTTTTCGTCCTCGTATAAGCCTCTTCAAACGTCAAGTCTCCCACGTTTGCCCTCAGGACATCTTCCAGGACTCCAACATCAAGAAAGTGCCCTTCTTTCCACCATCGCCTCAAGCGGCGTATCAGTGTGCCTATCCAAGCGGTTCCTCCAGCGCCCTTCCTGTAGGGACGGTTTGTGAATGCCGTCAAGTCAATCGTGTTGCCTGTCAGGAACTCCAATAGCTCATCTTCGGTATGCACACCCACCAGTGCCGCTATCAAAGCACCCGTAGCAGTCCCAGCTATGATTCTAGGTAGTAACCCACGCAGATGGAGCGCTTTTACTACACCAAGATGACACATGCCGAAGACCTGTCCACCCTGCAGCACCAACACAGATCTACCAAACGCTTGCCTTGTGTCATGGAGAACATCCAATTTTGCCTGGTTTGTTAAGCCAGTATCCGAGTTTCGCGACGTAGGGTATTGGGTGAGATTCTCGATGGCGTATGCGACTTGCGTGACATAGTCTTCGATCAATAGCTTCGTGCCGGCGTATGCGCGATTGTACAGGTTCGGCGCTGTTATGTTGCCGAGATTGCGTACGAGCCCGCTGCGAAGAAGGTTGATAAGCCCAAGGATGTCATTGTCCTCTTGAGCTTCGTAGATGGCGGAGAGACGTTGATGGATAAGGCGATGGTCGTAGTCTTTGCTTATGGCGGTCTGTCGCCTATACAGTCGTTATCAGCAATTTTCCGGTGCGAGTATTTCCACTTAGAATTGAACGGTAAGTCTGCTTACCACATGTCGTAGTCGAGCACTTCATCGAGCTTATACGCAGCCGCCTCCCATTCCTCGAATAGCCGCGCATCACCGATAGCTTCCAGAAGTAGATCTCTCTGGCTCTTCTGCACCCACCACGCGTATAGTTTCTTCAACATATCAGCATTCTATCCGAAGATGTAGTAATTGACCCAGAATGGCCATTCAGTAGCAAAGGGAAGCTGACGCACTCGTTGCCAAAAGAAAGCCACGTCGAAGAAGCACAGGAGGAAACTCCACAGCGCCCCCGACACGACGTTCAGCGCTTCACTCATGGCGTAGAGCTATTTCGGATAGTGATCGGCTGATAGCGCCGCTGTGTCAATAGTCGCATGTTCATTCGTCGCGTCTGCGGAGATGTAGTGCCGTTGAGCATGTGGGAACGCTTGTCGGACTTGATGCGGACTTTCACATGCAAGTCAGCTGCAGACGTCAGGATGTGGCTGACTCGGACACTAGCCACGTGGCGTTAGTGCCCAACCACCGTGCGGGGCATTACGAGGGTATGTAATGCTTGACTTGACATTGCATCCTCCTTTGAGATTCTAGACAATATTTAAAGATGCCTGGTTCGTCTCTATGGCTGCTTCCGCCAGCAGACCATCCCCTTAACGAAGTCCTTCCTCGCCTTATCGACAAAACATCTAAACAGTTCAACTCACCCCACCGCTTCCTTCCTCATGTGACTCTGACTTCAGAGATATCGCCGTCCAAGTATGGGTCGGATCCTCAGGCCTGGCTTGAATCACTCGATCTACCATCTGGACAAAGCATACAGATCAAATTCGAACGTCTAGGCAGCGAAGATGTCTTCTTCCGGAAGTTGTACATCAAGTGTGCGAAGGCTGCAGGGATCAAACAACTAGCACAACAGTGTAGAAGCCACGTCAATGGGTTTGAAGATGAAACAAACTCGAAGGCTTGGGCTGAAGAGCAATACATGCCACATCTTAGCTTGATGTAGTAGGTCTATCAAACTCCAACACGTGTCAATGCTGACTGTCACAGCCACGACTGTAGCCAGGTCGACGAAACCGGTTTAGCATCAGTTGATACACTTGACGTCAACTTTGAAGGGAGAGGAGAACTAGGTGGCTGGTCGGGCGGAAGGGTGGTGCTTGTGCCCACTGACGACCCAATTCTTCAGTGGCAGCCCATAGGTGAAAGGACACTTTAACATCATGAATCATGGAACAATGAAGGACATTACTTTGAAGGTTGTTGTGATTACTTCATTACTAGGCTAATTATACAATGTCATAGGAAAGCTTTCCTTGGTATCTCGCATACAGTCGTCGTGATTGTGCGTAGTGAAATGCGTCTATTTCATGAAACCGGCCTTACCGTCACCATCGGCGTCAACCTCTGTGGAAATGGTTAGTAGATGTCAACAAATAGTAATGTGAACATGACACTTACTAGGGTTGAGCTTGTCCATCAGCGAAGGCTTGTGTTGACCTATTTCTTGTTGGCCTCATGTTCAGATTCTAGTTTCCGCGCTTCCTCTTCGGATGCTTGGGAGTGGGGGATGGCCTTTGAGCGGTCCTCGGTAAGGGCCTTGGGCAAGCTGCCATCCTCGTTGGGACGGTGCTCCATGTGACCCTTGTCGGTACCGCCCACGACATGTCCACTGGGGTCTTTCGTACCTGTAGCACCGTGGTTGCCTGGGCTGAATTAGTATAATGTTTCCTGCTTGTGTTGAGAAGAATTGCTTACCGCTGCGGGCAGGGTCTCTGAGGTCCTGACTATCGATCTTGCCGTCGTGGTTGCGGTCACCAACACCACTGCCAACAACTCCTCCCTGGGTGGAAGAGCCGGTCAGGTTGCCCTGGCCGGAAGCGCCACGGTCAGTGTGGGAGGTGTTGGAGTGGCTACCAGTCAAGTCCTTGGCACTAACCTTGCCGTCGTTGTTGCGGTCAAGGGGGTTGTGTGTACCGGTAGTAGTAGAGTTGTGAGTAAGACCTCCCTCCCTCAAGCCAGCATCGCTGTGGTGGTTGGGGGTAGCGTCGTAGTCGCCGTGGCGGGCGTGCTCGTGGCCGTGGGAAGTGGTCTTGTGGGCGAGACCTGCAGCAGCGCCGATGCCACCAGCGCCGCCGATGTTCTTGGGGACGCCCTCAAACTCGTCGTAGCGCTCCTCGCGGCCGGTGAGAGCACCGCCCTTAGCCTTGAACTGTTCCATGGTCATGGCTGGGAGAGCAGTAGTCTCATGGTGGGTAGCCTTGTTATGGTGAACCTCATGGATGGGGACGGTGGTGTGGACAACGTTGGGCTGGATGGTCTCCTTCTGAACAACGGGCTGGATAGTCTCGTGGATGTGCTAAATGACGTCAGCGCTTGGTGGGGTATTGACATGTTGTTCTCCAACTTACGTGGTGGACGTGCTCTCCGCCAACAGTAGGGGCAACACTCTGGCTGTGGGTGGTGTCCTCAATGCGGCGCTCGTCAGCAAAGCGAGCCTGGTCGTCGACCAAGGCCCTCTTAGTGGCATCGGCATCGCGGTGGTCAAACTCGCGGTGCTGAACAGCACCGAGCTTAGCAGTGTGTTGCTCTGGCAGGACCTCACGGTCGTGGACGGGCTGGACAGTGCGGTGGTAGTGGTCCTGGTGAACCTCCTTGTCAATGGCAGTGTTAATCTCCTCGTGTACGTGAGGCTTGATGACCTCGTGCTGAACAGCGGGGGCAACTGCCTCGTGGACAGTGGTGTCGTGGTGACCGGAACGGCCCATGAAGTCGGTGATAGCTGCCTTGGCCTTGTCCATTTTGATTATTGTGTAGTGGTTGTTTGTTGGGTGGTAGTTTTGGTGTGGGTGGTGGATTGGTTGTTGGTGAGGTGTGGAAGAGTTGTGGTAGGTGTGATAATGATGCTCTCAAGGTGCTGCTTCACTGCCTTCTTATACAGAGAGGACGCTAGTAGGACAAATGCACGTCGACGTAATGGAGGAGTTCTGTTCCAGGTAACGTCGGCAGGTGCTGACTGCGTTCCTTGTTCACAGGGCAGGAAGCCATCATCGCGGGGCAGCAACAGTGGATTGAAGCTATCTGAGTCTCGATCGATGCTCCTAGGAGAGTCGATTGGTTGGCCGGGAGCGCGCCACAAACACCTGATGTACGTCAGGGACATTAGCTCAGTGGGTAGCGCTTAACATGGCGCCCCATGCTGGTACGCTTGGCAATGCATACTGGCACTATGATGCAGCCGGTGCTGTCGTTCCACGCCTACCGCAGCCTAGTTGGTATGATGTAGTCATGCTGCGTGTCCAAACAGGAATTGGGCATCACGAAGGATTCAAAGCGTCGCAACACTCTCTGGGTGAACTTCTCAAAATGTTCAAGTGCTGGACCAATCTGGAGAGGAGCGACCCGACATCTAAGTGATCGGAGGGATCGGCGCTAGGGTCGTACTCCTGCCATTCGGTGACACCGGGTCCGTGCAGCTTCCCGCGAACAGCTTCAGCACATCTCTGGAATCACACAATGCTGTTTTCTTGATCAACAACTCCATCCACCCCCGTCACACCCAAGTGTGCGCCTCCAGATGTCTCGGAAGTCCCGGTGGCCTGGCTGCCACTAGGAGCATGCTAGCAAGATCGCCATTGTTTTGGTACGCTAAGTTGATCAACAGTGGAGCCGCCCGCGACCAGACTCCCCCTCCCTGTCGTCATGCCGCTCTGATCTCCACTGTGACATACCGATGCGGCAATGAATGCAGTTTGCTTTTATCTTGCATGCCTCCGGTACTCCGAATAACCAGCCGTACGCTGCGAAACACAAGTACCGCAGAATACGTCATGCTGAGTCGCCACTCGTGCCGTTGTCGTGAACCAACTGTATCAAAATATGCCCCCAGCTCGAGTAGACTCAGTCGAGTAGAGAAAAAGAGAGCTTTACGAGAGGATCAAGTCTAGACCGCTCCGCGGACGCCGCGAACACGGGGCGAGAGCACTCCAAAGTTGCCGTGTGTAAGACTCAAGGCACTGGCTCCGTCGTCTGTGACACGGCATCAGCGAAGCTATTATTTCTCGCGGACCGTTTGCTCAAATGTCCAGACTCCAGAAGCTCCAAATATGCATCCTAGCTAGCTGTATGCACACTCTCCAGGCTTCGGCTTCATTCCTGCCGGACGGTGCTGAAGGTTTCGTTTGCCTGCAGGTGCTGTGAGGTCATTCACCCTTACTTTTGTCACCGTGCTTCGTGAAATCAGACAATAGATCGGCGTCGCACCTAGCTTTCACCTGCGTTTGTCACTCCTCTGCATTTTGAACCGCCGACATGAAAGAAAAAATCGAAGAGAAGCTCAAGTCCGTTCTCCATAGGAGAAAGAAGTCTACGCCCACGCAATCCCCTAGAGCCTCGTACGAACAGTCCGAGGAGACTAGTCCGCGCACCCAGCAGCACCCAGCATCACCGCGCAGCCGTCTCCAGCAAGATTCCGCAATCGCAAACGATGCTTTTCACTCGGACACAAGGAGTCAACCACGGGACTCTGCCTACCACGACGGACGAGCGAGTCATGCGGCAGCAGCTCCGAACACGGACCTCAATGGATCCATTGCGGATGATTACAGATCTTACCTTCCAGCTTTAGCTTCTGAAGAAGACCCAATGGCCGAGGCAGACGTACCAGACAGACATCTTCGGTATAGACCATCGACTGATGCGGGGCGGTTGAAGCCTCTTCCCGACACACCAAGTACGCCACAGAAAACAGTCAGAATATTGTGACGAAACATTGACGTAGTAGCAGATTCTTCAAGTCATCATCGCGTCGGTCGCTCCAAACAACTGATCGATAGTACTGGCCCTGGCAGCACAATACGCGCAGTACCGTCTGAACCCTCCAGACACCAAGTCAGCAACCCCGGCTTTAACGATAGCCTTCGATCGCACAGAGAGAGTTCTCCATATGAGAACCATGGCCTGATGAAGAGTGGTCATCCGGTGGGAGGGTCTGCCGAGGATGATGCGCTGGCTGTGAAGCCTGTTCCAGGTCTTGCAATTACGAAGGAACAACATGGCATGGACGGTAGTCATGACTGGAAGACGAAGCAGAAAGCTATGCTTGAAGGCGTTGTGAATCTGAAAGATACTGTGGATACGGATAAGGATGTCACCGTCGCCCCAGGTAAGCTCCGTCCCACTCAATGGTTGCGATATGTCTAACAGACCGATAGCCGTTGTACACGAAGTTATCAAGCCACATGAGCACGAGGTCATACAGCAGCGCATCCACCGCGAGATCCACAACTATACATACTACCACCGGCTACAGCCGGTTCTTCAGACCGAGGTCCTCCCGCCTCGTCACTTCATTCCCAATCCTGATGGAGAGGGCTTGATCGAGATTTCTGCCGACGAGTTGCCAAATCGTACTGGTAAGAACAGATGGTGGGACATAGTCCAGAAGGAGCCAGTCCTTCCAGCAACTCCATTCGAATGGCGCACGGAGCCGCAGATTATTGAGGGAAAGCCGTACATAACCGAAGAGGGCTTCGAACGTAGGGAGACGACTATCATCTATCCACCAAAGCTGGCAGATATGTCGCGCTATCAAGGACTGGTTCAGCCAGTGCATTTCGATCACAAAACTGGAGAGCGATGGTTGGGAGAAGTAACGACGGTTGAGAAGTTGAACCGGGAGCTGGAGCGTACAGAGGACGAGGATTTCATGACCATGAAGGACATTACTGCAGATTTGCCGAAAGTTTCATCAAGTCCCTCTGTCAAGCGGAAGCCTGTCGGTCGCGACTCTCTCTAGCGATTCACTCGCTATCGGTTATCAAGCATGCATCAGTTCAGCGAAGGCGCCATCGGGGGAGGTGGGTTTCATAAACTGTACCTCTAACATGTATATCTAGGGTCCAGTGACCACATTATGACTAATTCGTAATCTGCTTTTCCTCATGACCAAACCTCTACTTCTTGAATGCCCCATCTCTTCACGAAGTGGCCATTTCGCCGTCACCAGCTCGTCGAGATCGTGCAACTACATTGTGTCGTGCCTTCCTTTCTCTATCCGTAACCACTGAAGTGTCCGGAGCACCGCAATGAACACCAAAAACGCCCTCAGAATCATCAAATCATCGCCCGAGCACGATGCGCACCACAAGTTTCAATCCTTAGGTCGGTTGTTACAACGGAACCTCGACTCATGGGCTACGAACCGCATGCTCTCAAAGTAGCCACTCACAGCTCTGGATCCCAAGATAACTTCAAAGCTCTTAAGCCCCTGCTGCCCCGACTGTTGTCATAGTATTTGCGCCTATGCATGTTTTCAACTTCTCAAGTACTTGTCGCGACCCGCCTGCAGAATGCACAAGTTTCGCTGTCGCGATGTCCAGTATCGCAATGTTGCACCGTTCCCCGAGTTAGCATACGGCCGGTCGCCCGACGATCCGTACTGCAGAAGCGCAGGATATATGAACAAGCCAGAAAGTGATGGCAGACGCGATGTTCCTGGTTGCCTGTCCGGTATACGTAATCCCAAGCTTTGTGGATTTCTTGGTCGCGGTATTTCGAACGTGTAGGATGATGGGAGGAAGTCTCTATACGCTGCTTTACTATGCGCGACTCGCACTCACAGATCAGCAAAGCATGGTATCTGCCAACCATCCTTCATAATAACCTTACTGTCAACACATCGGTGTAGGAAGGTCTGCAGATGGAAAGCTATCGTCCTGTGTAGTTCGGGGAGGCGAAGCATGAGCAAGGACTTCCCGCCAAGAGTCAGCGACAGCGTGGGGTGCGTTATTTCTACATCCACCGGTAAGCTGAAGCTTGCTTGGCAGAGGTATCATGACTTATGTCTTAAATGAAGAAAGAGGCTGGCTCAAGCGACCTAAGGCTGACAACCTGACAGCCAACACGCTATCTCGTGGCGCTGTAGCGTCACATCGCAGCATTTCAGCATTACATCGTCATTCCCCATAGGCAAGGAAAGCGACACACGAGTTTACGTATCTACCAAGCAAGAGTCTCGATTTACGGCACGCAGCTTCTAGTCCTTTTCGATGCAGCGGGGGGGCTGTCAAGTGAGGACTAGAAGTTGGCTTGGGTCCGAGCTAGTGGCCGCCTCCGAAGTATAGACAAGCCTCTGGCATACAGCGGAGGCAAGGAAGCAAGCCTGGAGCCAACCCACCAGCCTAGAAACGCCAAGGTAGCTTCAGCCGTTCGAAAAACAACGCGGGCTCGGTCATTGGAGAACAATCGCAGGCCAAGATACACTCAAGAGATGGAGGGGTTTTGTCCCACAAAACTGGTGAGAAGGATTCGGAGAAGCCGACAGGGAAGACGATGTGGCCCGATAGCAAGAATTGCACGAGCTGGACATGCGAAAGAGCCTGCTAGATGCATCATACGAAGCATTCACGGTCTCGAGAGTACAGTGGGCTGCGCCAGCGCTGATTGTGTACGCAGGACCCCGCATGGGGGCTCTCCTAACCAACAATGTCCAGCTAGCGATGCCGGGTACCTCGACCCCTGCACCAAAAACGTCGTTATCGGGTCTTTTGCCCAACACGCGGCGCACGAGACAAGGATTCACCAGCCCTGAATATTCCCCCAGATGAACAGCCGTTTGGCCAGTGAAGGACAGAGGAAATGTGAATGTGCCTGGCGCAGCCCCACCATGGCAAACGCCAAATCGCTCATCTGCAATTCGCCCTCCACTAACATTCAGCCCAAACCTCAAAGAAGCGGGATAGTTGCGAATGCCCAGTCAGCCTAGCGCGATCTACAGCGTTCACCACGAGGAATCCGCCTA